GAGAATAACGTGCTTGCACTTCCACACATAAGGAAGAGAATCTAAACAAACAGGCATGTGTCAATGATCAGAGCTTTTCCCTGAAACAATCTTCTTTATCAGATTTTATCAGAGGAACTGTTTGAACATTTTTATTCGATGACATTTTGGTACAATGCCATCATCATCATCATCATCATCATGCCTTTCTCTAGATTTCTCTGCGGATATTTACAGTGTGTGATGACAGGTCTATATTTTTGTATTCATTTCATCATACACACAAATGCAGAATTCCAAATGCGGACTGTGTTGTGGATGCAGCCACCAGAAATCAATTGCATATTTTTGCATATCAGTTTCATTCACACAGCCATATGCTGCAGATTTATCAAATCTGACTCAATCAGCCACCTCTCTCTTATACAGCAAAGTCACAGTACAGGAGAAATCTATCAAATGCTTGCATCATTACTATCCGTTTGCATAATTACGTACATGAAAATGATCCTTACCTTGTTCCTTTACGGTTGAAATGCATTGTTTGCTATTCAAACACATGTCTATTTGATCTTTGCTGTATAGCCTACTCCAGTGCTTTACGGGAAAACGAAAGTGAAAGCAAGTGACCTCCCATAGTAGCTATAATTTGCTATAGATGGTGCTGTTTATCCTAAACTGCAATTGTTCAGTCACCTTATGCTATTTATGGAATATAGGGAATAGGCCTATTCTTGAAATATTCAGAGGCGGACAGTAGTGAAGTATTTTTACTCTGCTGTAAAAGTACTTTTTAGGTGTCTGTACTTTATCAGAGTGCTTTTCTTTAGAATACTTTACTTCACACCATTCCAAAGCATAGTATTGTACGTTTTACTGCACTCCGTTTCATATTAAATATCATTTTAATTGCATTAGAAATCTATTACTTTCTTACTTTTACTCAAGTAAAAGTAATTCAAAGATTTACTTGAGTTCAAGAAAGTACTACATTTTTAATGCTCTTAAGTATTAAAGGTAAAACACACAACTTTTATTTATGAAATGAAGTGCAGTAAAAAGTATGACATTATGCTTTGTAGTGAAGTAAAGTTTTCCAGAGAAAAACACTCTGATAAACTACAGATACTTTTTACATTTACTTGAGTAAAGTAAAAATACTTCACTACTGTCCGCCTCTGGAAATAGTGAATCCAAAATTACAATCACCTAATTCTAAAACATGTAGAAACTATCCGTTAAGACGAGCTGAACCTCATCCTTGCCTCCTTAGAATTTGACCTGTCCTTCCGTCTCGGAAAGCTGGCTACGTTATCACAAAAGCAATGCTGTCGTAATTTAGACATCAGATAAAGAAAATAAACTCTGGTCACTTTCATTTTTAACTTTTTTTTTTAAGTCACGTGATCCAGAAGCCACATCACTGAATTCCAAACCACATAAACAAAGCCTCGTGTGGTTCCCTTGAATAGTAGCCAATGTTTAGAAACGCTTCTTCCCCTGCGTTTTTGTATGAAACCATATGTTACCGTGACCCCATTTCAATATTATGCTCTGCATCAATATATTTTTTGCAGTTTGATTTTTTTTTTGCGCACAGTTTACATAGCGACTTACAAATAACCTTTAATAAACAAAAGTTTCAGCTACTTCTAAATCTTCAGTGCTTTTTTAAATAAATAATAATAACAAACCTTATAAATAACAACAACAACAAAAATCCCAATAATGATGATTATGATGATGATGATGTTCCGTGTAATGGGAATGAATCATTATGAAGTTTTAGAGAATTCATGAAAACTAGACAAAAAAAGTCCCTTGCATTCAGAAGTATCACGTGACTGGTACCAGCTTTAGGCCTAAGACAGATCTTTACATGAAAACAGTGTCTTTTCTGTAAGTGCTGTTCACTGAAGAGGCGTGTATATTGGGCACAGGTGTACTGTTACATAATCAGGAGCCAGTTTTTTGGACGGGTGCTACCGGGTTACGCTTAACTGAAATAATATAAATGTATTTTTTATGGAACATTGTGGAAGTGCTTTAATCAAATTTTGAAAACAAATTGTATTCTATATTTGAACAAGACGGAATACACACAGTGGTACAGTATGGCACAATTAAACAGTTTCGGTTCCCTTTGAATATTTATTTGTCCATACAATGGCAGTCAATATTTAATATATTCTCTTATGTTCTGCAGATTAAATTATTTATTTATTTATGTCGACTATCCCATCAAAAAGCTGCTGGCTACGGTTAACTCTATTGAAGTGTACTGAACTAAACGTAATTTTACTAAATCTTCCTGTAATTCTTTTTCTCCTCCACGGAAGTTTGTACCTTGATAAGCAAATAGTTATTAATCATGAGAGTAGCCGTTTATGTTTTGTCTTAAAGCTTTTGTATGTCTGTATTGAATTTCCTTTTATTGCAGTTTAGCAAACTCCTCCTGTTATTCCTGTTATTCCTATTGAAGTTCCATTTCAACATCCTGAATATTGAAGGTGAATATTTCATGCATTTTCATGACTTCATCATTGTTAATGCAACTCTAGCGCCATCTTCTGGAAACTAGCCTACCTCTATCAAGAGTGTTACTCCAAAAATGTAATATATTGCTCATTACTAGTTACTCCTTTTAAAAGTAAAATGATTACTTTATTTATTACTTTCTGGCAACACTAATTAGTAACACTATACACTCTTAAAAATAAAGGTGCTTCATGATGCCATAGAAGAACCTTTTTGTCTAAATGGTTCCATAAAGAACCTTTAACATCTGAAGAACCTTTCTGTTTAAGAGTGTAGCCTTTCTTCAGATTATAAAAAGGTAAGAAAGAGATGGTTCTTTAAAGAACCTTTGACTGAATGGTTCTTTGTGGAACCAAAAATGGTTCTTCTATGGCATCGCTGTGAAGAACCTTTTGAAGCACCTTTATTTTTAAGAGTGTTTACATTACTTTTCCTTCATGCCCCCACGTAAGTTGTAATTGTGTATCTTCCACACAAAATTCTTCTAAAATGTTATAACAATATATTTCTGCCTCATCATTTGACCAGAATCCACATTGGATCGCAGTCAAAAGTTATTACAAACACTCTTTTATAATTTCTCTTTACCCTAATATGATTTGTATTTCATGATGTAATTTATCAAAAGAAATGGCATACATTTGTAAGATTTGTAATCATAGTAATATAATTAATATCGGGATCAAAGGAATGTGGGTGGGCAAGCCATGCAATGCCAAAGTAATGCCACAACTACACATCTGTGTTCAGATCATCTTTTCTCCTGACAAAATCAATGTAATGGCAATATTTCCATCCAATAAATGTAAGCTTTTCCATATTTCAAGCTTGCTTGATGCACTGCTGACTTCATGTGAATTATGGAAATAAATTGAGGAATTATTGTATTGTTGGGTTTCAAATCAGCAGGGGTTGAGGCATCAAAATAACTAACGAGCTGTGTTATGGATGGTACAAAAATCTTATTAGTAATTAGTTACACTACAGTAAAAAGTAATATTATTAGTTGAAACTAGTAACTGCCCAACACTGGTTAACACATAATTTGAGATTGAGAAAAGGCAAATAATGTTGCTAATAATGTCTAGTGACCAGTGTAGACGGATTTGGGCTTTATTTTATTTATTTTTTACTTTTCTCAGTTGTCAAGGATCATTAAACATTTTAGTGCAGATGGTATTATATGAAGTTTAAAAAGTTCTGCACAACTTTGAAAAAAATGTGAAAAAATAAAAAAGACTATTTACATTTGCAGAGTGACTTACATAAACGTTCATACATGGCTCTTGTTCATATTTGCTTCAGTTCCCTCTTGAAATCCAAGTCTTATCGTGTGTGAAGCTGTTATCAGGAAAGAAAGGCTGGTTGTTTAGAGGACCCTTTTGTCTTGAATGTTAAGATAGCCAACGTTTCATTTAGGTTAAGTCCCATTCAGGCACATTCACCGATCGGCAGTTCATGTGACTCTTCTGACTTTTAAACAAGGCAAGTTTATTTAGCACATTTCATAATGGTAATAAGTGCTTTAAATGAACATTTTTAAGTAATCATTACAGATGTATAAGAAAAGACTCTTAAAAAAGAGATAAGAATAGCTACATAAGATGATACAGAGCAATCAGAAGGACTCTGCGCTCGTTCAGTAAGCAGATGTGTTACTTTTAGTCTGTATTTATATGTGAAGTCTGTTGTAGTACATCTGATCTCTTCTGGAAGCTGTTTCCTTCCAGCTGACTTGTTTTGAGTGAAACCTTTTGAGTGTAGGCTACCAAAGACGATAGCATGCAAAGGAAAAATTGTGTTTAAGTACGAGATCAACACAAAATTACAATGGTTTGTAGAAAGAAAAAGACCACAATAAAATGCTATGATTGTTATGAATGATTTAATCGCCTTTGCTACAAAATTGGTCATATGAGCATTGAGCAATATTGCTCTAAGCAATAAGTATCTCTTCATATAATGTATGAATATATTCTATTTACTTCTGGGTTAAACCTGATGTTGTGAAATAAAGTTAAATCAATCAAACGCAACTTGATTATTATTTGGGTCGGAACTGAAAATGTCCCATGAGTTCACCCGACGGAGTTTCAGTGACGGACTATCAACAATACGAACGTTCTTGAAAAATGTTTCACTCATTTTGAGAAAAGTTGTAATTTTATGACATTTGTAGTGTAACATTAAGGAAAAACATGTTTTTAAATACTTTTAAATACAAAAATACTTTTGAATGTATACAATAAGAGTTTTTACATCTTTCTCTCTCGGTCTATATCTATATATATATATATATATATATATATATATATATATTTGAACTATTATCATGATTTATTAATTGCTAAATATCATTACACTAACCTTGCCTTGTCATAAAAAGGGTTTTTAAAAAATCTGATATTCATTTTTTAAAGACTGTCCTTATTAGATATGTTACTTATTATTTAAAAAAAAACTGAGCATTGTGTCATTGGTCCATGTATCACGTTGCTCCTGTGTTATTTAATAAATCATATTCTCACACCCTTCTTTTTTTGATCCTCTGCAGAAAAGCAAACATTTTTGTGTCTTTTCTTGTGGACATAGCCCTTGGTTTGCTGCTTATCTCATGGCTTTATAGGGAGAATCGTATCAGCAAATTAGCAGATACTTTGGTACCTGTGGCTGATGTAAGTATGGCACATATTACATCACATTTGTGGAAAAGTTTGGAATCAGTAATATTTTTTTAGTATGCTTGACAAAGCTGCATTTATTTGATGAAATATCTGCATTTATTTGCTGTCAATTGTGATAATTTTACTTGCTGAATAAAAATATAAATTTCTTTCAAAATAAAAAATATTTATAACCCCAAAGATTTAAAGGGCAGTGTGTATATATAAATGTGTAGACAGATGTCTTTCTGAAAATCTTGGGTTATCTCACAGCATGTGGCTAAAGAGCTGCAGGAGCTGTTAGAATGGCTGATGGGAGCTCCTGCTGGACTGAAGATGAACAGAGCTCTCGACCAGGTGCTGGGGAGATTCTTTCTCTACCACATTCATCTGTGGATCAGTAAGTAGATCTTCAGTTCAAGCATTCTCATAGTGTTACATTTACATTTAGTCATTTAGCAGACGCTTTTATCCAAAGCGACTTACAAATGAGGACATTGGAAGCAATCAAAAACAACAAAAGAGCAATGATACGCAAGTGCTATAACAAGTCTCAGTTAGCTTAACGTAGTACACGTAGCAAGTTTTTTTTATTATATAATAAATAAAAAGAAAACAGATAGACTAGAAAAAGAATAGAGCAAGCTAGTGTTAGAGGCCTTTTTTCTTTTGTGAACTGTATAATGAAAAGAAATAGATAGAATACAAAAAAAGCTAGTGTTCGTGTTTTTTTTTTAAGAAAACAAGCAGTTCGTAAATGAATAGAGTGCAAGTCTAAAAGAGGCATGTTTTTTAAGAATAGAATTAGTAGAGTGCTAGAGTTAGAGGTCAAATAAAGATGGAAGAGATGTGTTTTTAGCCGATTCTTGAAGATGGCTAAGTACTCCGCTGCTCTGACTGAGTTGGGCAGGTCATTCCACCAGGAGGGAACATTTAATTCAAAAGTCTGTGAAAGTGTGTTCCGAAAGACAGGGCCTGATCTTCTTGATGTTGAATAAAGCAAATCTGCAGGACCGGGCAGTTTTAACAATGTGGTCTGAGAAAGTCAGCTGATCAATCATAACTCCAAGGTTTCTGGCTGTTTTTGAACGAGTTATGGTTTATGTGCCTAACTGGATGGTGAAATTGTGATGAAATGATGGGTTTGATGGAGCCACAAGCAGTTCTGTCTTGGCAAGGTTGAGTTGAAGGTGATAGTCCTTCATCCAGCAAGAAATGTCTGTTAGACAAGCTGAGATGCGAGCAGCTGTCGTCGGATCATCAGGATGGAATGAGAGGTAGAGTTGAATGTCATCAGCATAGCAGTGATATGAAAAGCCATGCTTCTGAATGGCAGAGCCTAGTGATGTCATGTAGACCTAGATAAGTATTGAAGATTTGGAATGCGCTCTTGCCAGTCTTAGGGCTTCAACAACTGAGAGCAAGGCAGTGTCGGTTGAATATCCACTTCTGAAACCATACTGGTTGCTGTCCAGGAGGTTGTTCTGTGTGAGAAAGGCAGAGACTTGGTTGAACACAGCTCGTTCAAGTGTTTTTGCAATGAAAGGTAGAAGGAAAACTGGTCTGTAGTTCTCTAAAAGAGATGGGTTAAGGGTGAGTTTTTTAAGTAGTGGTATTATACAAGCCTGTCTAAATGTTGAGGCAAAAACACCAGTGTGAAGAGATGTGGTAATGATGTGAGTGAGTGCAGGTACAACTGCAGGAGAAATGGCTTGAAGGAGATGAGATGGAATAGGATCAAGCGGACCAGTAGTAGGATGATTAGAAAGGATGAGTTTGGAGACTTCTGCCTCAGAGAGTGAAGAGAAGGATGTGAATGAGTGTATGTTTGCTGGTAAGATGTGCTTAATGCTTAGTGAATGAATCACATCTGTGTTTTGTGATTGCGTCCGCAGGTTACATCCACCTGATGTCTCCTTTCATTGAGAGGATCCTGTGGTATGTTGGACTCTCAGCCTGCTTGGGATTGACCTTTGCGCTTTCCATATTGTCCGACATTGTGGCCCTCCTCACTTTCCACATCTACTGTTTTTATGTGTATGGGGCAAGGTGAGGTTTGGTTTTGTTGTAACTTACTGTCATGTTTGTGCACTTCCAGTAGAGGGCAGTGTCAACCTTTATATTTGCGCCTCTTAAAGGGATAGTTCACCCAGAAATAAATATTCTGTACTCATTCACTTTACTTTGTCATTCCAAACCTGTATGACTTTCTGTTTTCACAAAATGTCCAATGTCCAGGCTGCTGTTTAACATATTATACAAGTGGAAAGGAACCATGGACCACCAAGGTCATCATTCCCTTTCATTGTATGAAATAAAAGTGAATTTTATGTTCCATTCTTGAAAGAATGTTACACAGGTTGGGAAAGACATGAGATAACATTAACCATGACAGAATTTTAGGTGTACTATCTCTTTAAGGTTCTATCTCAGATCTTTCTGGGCAGTTACTTGTTATTTATATTTACAGTCTTGCATCTTTTATTTACATATTAACCTTGACACACAATTCCAGGGCTTTTCTGAGAACTGCAGTACAGTTTCTTTGTTTGTGAAGTGTACTTTCCTATCTCTGCTGTCAGACTCTACTGTCTGAAGATCTATGGTCTCTCCTCCCTGTGGCGGCTCTTCAGGGGAAAGAAATGGAATGTATTGAGGCAGAGGGTTGACTCGTGCTCATACGACCTGGACCAGGTACATTTCCTGCACAACTGCCAGCTATTTAGCACATCCCCACAGAACACATCTGACACTGCTCCGTTTACTTTACAGTTGTTCATTGGCACTTTGCTCTTTACGATTCTGCTGTTCCTGCTTCCCACCACTGCCCTGTATTACCTCGTCTTTACCCTGGTGAGTCTATTTTCACACTTTTTGCGTCTCACATTTTTTTAAATGTTACATCAGTCCAGAAATGTCTTCGTCTCTATATGTGACCCTGGACCACAAAACCAGTCACAAGGGTCAATTTAAAATTGGAAAGCTGAGTAAATGAAAGCTGGAAGCTGAATGAATAAGCTTTCCATTGGTGTATGGTTTGTTAGGATAGGACGATATTTGGCCGAGATACAACTATTTGAAAATCTGGAGTCAGAGGGTCCAAAAAAATCTAAATATTTAGAAAATCGCCTTTAAAGTTGTCCAAAGCAATGAACATTACTAATCAAAAATTAAGTTTTGATATATTTACGGTAGGAAATTTACAAAATATCTTCATGGAACATGATCTTTACTTAATATCCTAATGATTTTTGGCATTAAAGAAAAATCGATATTTTTGACCCATACAATGTATTGTTGGCTATTATACAAATATATCTGTGCTACTTATGACTGGTTTTGTGCTCCAGGGTCACATATTATGATTATTTTATTTTGGGGGGGGCATTATGAATTTGGTCATTATGAAAATTATTAAATCATTATATGGTAATTATCACATTTTAGCTCTTGATGTTTTTATTGCTTGCAATGGCCTATATAGTACTGTTCAAAGGTTTAGGGTCTGTGATTTTTTTATTTTTTTTTTATTTTTTTAATAGTTAAGTATATCAAAGTCTTTTATACTTACCATCACTGCATTTATTGGATCAAAAATGCAATAAAAACGGGAATATTGCAAAATATTATTACAATTTAAAATAACTGTTTTCTAATGTAATATATTTTAACATGTAATATATTCATGTGATGGCAAAGCTGAATTTTCAGCAGTCATTACAGTGTCACATGATCCTTTAGAAATCGTTCTAATATGTTGATTTGCAAGAAACATTTCTTATTATCAATGTTGAAAAGAGTTGTGCTGCTTAATACTATTGTGGAAATCATAATTCAGTTTTTTTTTTAAAGATTCATAAAAATCATAAATATAGAATTTATATACTGATAACATAAGTATCTTGTTTCTGTGTTTCTAGCTGCGGCTGGTGGTGGTGCTGTTTCAGGGAGTGATTCATCTTAGTGTGGACTTCATCAACTCCTTCCCCCTGTTTGCCATCGTCCTACGTATCTGCAGACCATACAGACTGGCAGGTGAGCCATACTGTATCACATTGAAGAAATCAATAAAAAAATAAAAAAAAGTCATACATTTTGTAACTTTCTCTTCTTGCGTAACACTTGATGATAGAGATGAAACTATGAATGTACTTCTAGGCCATGTACTACAGTCATATACTGACCTTCTGTGAAAACCGCTTGCTTAATTATGTGTTTATATGACTGATAAGTACTTTATGAATCTCTTTGTATTCCAGAGGGCGTTAAATTCAATGTGCTTTGTCAGGAGCCAGGAACTCCTCTTCACCTGATGATGGAGGTAGGTTGATTGTTGCTAAAACAGCTTGTCGTCCCATAGTTTATTTATGCTTGGGATTCATTTGTGGTTTGGGTTTGACCTGTTGATTTTGTGAGATGGATATTAGGGTAATTGAATAGCTTTGTTTGTCTCACTGTGCAGTGCAAACACTGGACATCCTTTACTTGTCTCTGTACCAGATGAGCAAACATGAATGAAAAATGTCTTTTCTTTTCTCCACCTTCAGATCAACCCACTGAAATGTAGCTCTGTACTGCAGTGTTACCGGATGCCCACTTATAGCTGTTCCCCTAAGGATTCCTGGGCCGCATTGTGCAAGAAGCTGTTTGTAGGAGAACTCATTTACCCCTGGAAGCAGAAGACTGCCAAGACCGACTAACTCTGGGACCTGCAGCCAGACACTTAGAGAACACACTGGGAGAAAGTTGCTCTATTGGTCAGAATCCAGTGACGCTCAAAATAGTCTTACTTAGGTTTTTAACAGAAGTAGATATTCCTTCATTGTAGATTTAAATCATGATCTTTCCTTTTCCAAACATTGATCAGAAGCTTTGATTGAAATTTGATTGTATTTATTTTAAAACTTCTACTTTTTATAACTGAAGATGTACCATTTAAAAAAAAGAGTATTACTTATATTATAACTTTGATATTTACAACTTGTTGCTCATTCACAACCATAATTTAATGAAGATCATTTGAACTGGAAGTGACACTGTTGACATCTCCTCAGTTTTTTTGCTGTCTCTCACGATGGGCAGATAGAAAGGAAATGACTGGTAACAGTGAGCTATAAAATGTTAGACATTTGTGACCTTGGACCAAAAAAGTCTTAAGTGTCAATTTTTCGAAATTGAGATTTATACATCATCTGAAAGCTGAATAAATAAGCTTGTTAGGATAGGACAATATTTGAGATATAACTATTTGAATATCTGGAATCTGAGGGAGCAAAAAAAAAAAATTTGAGAAAATCGCCTTTAAAGTTGTCCAAATGAATTTCTTAGCCATGCATATTACTAATCAGAAATTAAGTTTTGATATATTTAGAGTAGGAAATTTACAAAATATCTTCATGGAACATGATCTTTACTTAATATCCTAATGATTTTTGGCATAAAAGGAAAATCGAATATTTTGACCGATACAATGTATTTTTGGCTATTGTTACAAATATACCCCAGCGACTTAAGACTGCTTTTGTGCTCCAGGTTCACATTTATGATTCTAATCTATCTGACTAATGTGTACTGACTCTGAATGTTGAATTTAATACAGATTAGTGTAAATTATTTGACCATGAACCACTTATGTCAGTGTTGCCAAGTTGTTGTTTTGTAGCTATTATTAATGTAAATTATTTAATAAAATCAAGAGTTTTATCAATGCAGTTGATCATGATAAAACATATGCATTTGTGCTGTTGATTTTCAAACTAAATGTACCCCAATAAAGTTTATTTAATACCTTTTTGTAGATTGCAGTATCATTGTGCATCTTAGATTATACGATTCATGTTTGGACTATTTAAAGTTTACCCATTTTCTGAAACGTGCTAGTGTACAACTAGTCTTGCATCTTTTGTTTGGGAGAACAGCCTGTGAAGAATGTGCTCAGACTGGACTGAGAGCACAACACAGCAATGACGGGCTTCTGACTATTCAATGAAAATACAAAACACGTGAAAAACATCTGAGCTGGGGATTCACCTTCATGTTTTTAAGAGCAAAATACCTTTGTGTATATCTGACACAAAGATGGGTAGTCGAAAACAAAAGTAAAGACTTACTGTATATAGTGTTACAAAATATTTCTATTTCAAGTAAATGCTGTTTTTTTAATTAATCAAAGAATCATGAAAACAAATTCATCATTGTTTCCACATAAATATTAAGCAGCACAACTGTTTTCAACATTTAAAAAAGAAATAATATGACATGTTTCTTGAGCAGCAAATCATCATATCAGAATGATTTCTGAAGGATCATGTGATACTGAAGACTGGAGTAATGATGCTGAAAATTCAGCATTGCCATCACAGGAATAAATTAAATTTGAATCAAATTAAAAAAAAAAAAAGTAATTTAAAATTGTAATAATATTTTACATATTCTACTGTACTTGAGCGTGTTTACTGAGACTTCTTCCAAAAACATAAAAACCTGTTGTATTATAACTATTGTATAATACATAATTTATTATTAGTATGTCTGTGTTTTACAGTGTATATAGTTTATTGTCATTTATTGGAAGTTCTCTATATACAGTATGACCGTAAAAACGAAAATTGACAGAATTCTACTCAAAACAGCTGTCTCATATCCCATCCTAGGAGAACAAGTGCTATTATGCATGTGTTGGGGGAGAGCATTTATGTTTTTTAATGGCTGGTATAGAACTTGAAGTAGGGTCCAGATGTCCCCTTGTCTCCCTTGAGACCCTCGTGTAGCTGTAATCTCAATGGGCAGACACAAAGACTTCATACAGCAATTTGCATTTTAATCTATTCAGGGGGAGGGGGATTATCTTCTTTTGATCCCTGAAAGTGCAGAGACCTCTGGCTTGTCCCCAACACATTAACCCTCCTGCATCTGCCACAAAACCAGCAACCTGTAATATTTTTTTAAAATATATTTAAAGGGATAATTCACCCAAAAATCATTATTTACTCACTTTATGTATGCAGAATATTGGGTACTGACAGCCTCAGTCCCCATTCACTTTCACAGCATAAACATTTTCCATAGAGTGAAAGTGAAGGGTGACTGAGGCTGTCATTCAGCCTAGCATTTTCTTTTTTTTTCTTTCGTGTTCCACGGAAGAAAGAAGGTCATACAGGTTTGGAACAACATGCTGAGTGTTTCTAATACAAAATGTTTAACAATAGACAGACAAAAATAAATAGAATTAGTACCAGCTGTCCTTCAGCTTAAACGGTTACATATTTATAAAAGAAAGATTGTTGGACATATACATAACCTGTCTTTATATACACACTGAGAACAAGTGAATTCAGACCGCCAGTAACAGGTGGGTCGTGCTGTGTGAACTGAACGGCTGTGTCTCAAAACTTAGCATGCTGCCTACCTAGGCAAGGCATATTCAAAGGCATGAAACATTTATACAAGACACAACTAAAGCTTTTTCTTGATGCTCATTAATGCCTGGTTAAATGTTTATATTATTTATTTATTTTATGTATTATTTATGTAAGTATTACCGAACTTTATTAGATAATATTACATAATTTTCTCAGAACAATTTGTCCTTAGAAGGGTTGTGGGTATTTATTTATTTATTTGTTTAGCTTATATGTTAATTTTGTCAAAATATTTTAATTATACTTTATATTAAACTATTAACATTGTTTATTTACTTATTTATTGTTAATTTACTGTATATCATGTATTGTTTTAATTATACTTATATTATTTATTCATTATAATTTAAGTTTATTAGTTTATATTACTTTTATATAAACATTTTAATTATTCTTTATATTAAATTATTAACATTGTTTATATCACAATATTTTCATTGTGTATATCACAATATTTTAATTATACTTATATACTGTGTTTATTTATTTATTATAATTTAAGTATATTAGTTTATATTACTTTTATATAAATATTTTAATTAGTTTTTCAAAATAGTTTAAATAAAAATATTTTACTTATGTTTTATATTAAATACTTGATTAGCTTTATTAGCTTCATTAGTGTCACCTTGTTTTATTTATTTTTGTTTTTGTCCCTGTTTGTGATTTTATTGTGTGTATTGATATTGATGTAAGCAAAAATAACTACAGTACTATGATGTTCAAAACTATATTGTCTAGGTAGGCACCTCTCAGGGTTTGTACAGCCTGTGACTGTGTGTGTGTGTGTGTGTGTGTGTGTGTGTGTACTTGTTTATGCCACATTGTGGGGACCAAATATCCCCACAAGGATAGTAAAACCTGAACTTTTTGACATTTTGGGCAGTCCCCACGAGGGAAAAAATATTAAAAATAGTAAATGATGTTTATCTGAAAGTGAAACAATGCAAACAGGTTTTCTATAAGGGGTAGGGTTAGAGGATATAAAATATCGTTTGGTCAGTGTAAAAGTAATAGAAGTCTGGAAAGTCCCCACAATTCACAGAAACAATCGTGTGTGTGTGTGTGTGTGTGTGTGTGTGTGTGTGTGTACAGGTTTATATATCCTGGTGGGGACTTAAACCTGACTACACACAGACTCATGGGGACTCGTGTCACGGTGGGGACCTAAATTGTGGTCCCCACGGGTACAAAATCTTATAAATCATACAGAATTAAGTTTTTTGAAAATCTAAAAA